GGGAGCAGACTGGGAATAGACTGGGAACAGACTGGGAATAGACTGGGAGCAGACTGGGAATAGAGTGGGAGCAGACTGGGAATAGACTGGGAACAGACTGGGAATAGACTGGGAGCAGACTGGGAATAGAGTGGGAACAGACTGGGAATAGACTGGGAGCAGACTGGGAATAGACTGGGAGCAGACTGGGAATAGAGTGGGAGCAGACTGGGAATAGACTGGGAGCAGACTGGGAATAGACTGGGAGCAGACTGGGAACAGACTGGGAGCAGACTGGGAACAGACTGGGAGCAGACTGGGAGCAGACTGGGAGCAGACTGGGAACAGACTGGGAGCAGGTAGACTGGGTGGTTAACATCAGATTACGGTTTGGTTCACTCGCCTCAGGATGTTTAAATCTTACAGTGCAACAGAATAACTGCTAATATTTATCTGACCACTTGGGGGCGCTTGTCTAATATTCATGGTGACCAGTCAGAACCAGTCTGACCCGGTTCTGACCTCGATGATGATCTGCCGCTCCAGCAGGGTGTAGTGATCCTGAACGTGATTTCCGTCTTCACCGCCGAACTGGAGGCTAGAAACCAACGAAACTCATGACAATGTAAACAAACAAACAAATAAACAAACAAACACTTCCTGAGTTATTTATAATTTCTTCCATTTTCACTTCTCTTCTACAAATCCCTCATCATTCCTCCATACGTCCATTCCCTCCCTCCTCACCTGAGGCAGCTCTTCAGGAAGTCCCGCCTCTTGTTCTCATCTGCTATGTTCTTGTAGTCTTTATACTGCAGCAGCTGTTACCATGGAGACAGACAGTCATTTACCGTTACCATAAACAAAATAAAGAGCACAATGGAAATATGGCGGCCATCTTGGAGAGGTCATCCTCCCTGCTTGGCTAAGCTAACAGCAGGATATGCTTCAGCACTGCTGGATATTTCTGTTCAACACTAATTATGTTTAGAATCTTACTAAAAACATAAACATGATTTGATGTGTGGTTTATAAAATGCTTATCATGCATCAAATAAAAATATTCTGTTAATATTTTATTCTGTTAACCCGACTAATAATGTTTAAACATAATGAACCATGAATTGATCCAATTCAAAAATACTTTTAAAGAAAACAAACACGTCCCTACACACATGGCTATGATAGCTGTGTGATTTGAGTTATGAACGATTAAATGTGTTATCTGCCAAACAGAAAACACAGAGTAGAGCAGTCGACCCCTCCAAGATGGCCGCCCTGCAGCAGGTCCATGAAGCATCTACTCTTTACAGCTGACGACTTACAGCGGCTTCCTCCGTCCGGCCCAGCGCCCTGAGGAGCAGAAGAAGAAGAAATGAGATACAAACAAACAAACAGAATCCAGGTGAGTCCAGGTGAGTCCAGACCTCAGCAGCTCCAGCAGCAGCCTCTGCTCTCGGCTCTCTGTCAGGTAGTGGATGAAGTGCCTCAGCGCCGTCTGCCTGGACTCCAGCTCCCGGAATAAAACCTCTGAGCAGAAAAACCCAAACGGTGAGAAAGTGACGTTCAGCCGGCGGCAGCAGAACCGACGGAGAGACTCACCTTTACACAGCGTCCTCTTCAGGTAGATCAGAACCTGCAAACACAAACAACTTCCACAAGTCAGCAGGAAGTTTTCACTCTACCACTAAATCAGCTGACAATTATTTCAATAACGATTAATCACGATTAATCGTTTCAGCCTCACTATTAACCCACCGAAAACTTTTGGCTTCAGGAATGTCAGCCTTAATTTAGATATATTTTCTAAAATATTCCTCCAAATTAAGATATGCTAACATAAAACACAACTGTTAGCCTTGGCTAGCTGTATGTTAGCATTTTACTTCCACAGCTGGTTTATTTTGATAACAATAATTTTTATGATTCATGACCAGTGGATACATGTTGGTTTATAAAACTGAATCATATTTTTACTAAAAAAATAGCAAAATGTTCAGCTTTATAGCGTTAGTTAGCCTGCTGCTATTAGCTAGCCTGAATCTGCATCATTTTCTATGTAAGAAATTATTTTGACTGTAATTACACATTGTTTCCATTTTATTTGAACTTTTCTACAAATGAATAAATGTAATATTGATTATATAAAAGCTCTCTAAATAAACTTTTGAGTTTATTTAGAGCTAAATGTTCATCAATTAGCTAACTTTAGCCAATTTAACTGATTTATTTAAATTTCTGTTGAAGATTTTGGGTCGTTTCTTTTATATTCTGAAATATTTGCTGCTTTTTCTTGTCAATAATGTTGACAAAACAATGTTTTTATTAAGTCAGAACCAGCAGCTTCATGTGTTCGGGTCGTTATGAATAAAGTTTTTCGGATCGGTGACGATGAGTCGGAACTTTACGGCAGTGATGGCGTTCCCGTCGTGGGCGGCGACGGCCAGGTCCAGCAGCAGCAGTTTGTCCTGCAGGGAGCGGAACTTCTCCAGAGTCACGCCCTGCGAGACACAAACAGGAAGGGTTCTGGTTCTGGTTCTGGTCGGCCCGCTGGGCGCACGCCGCTGGGTCGCTTACCTTTCCCTGCTGTAGCCTCTGAACCGTCTCCTCTGCCGACCAATCGCTGACCAGATCCTAGTGACATCATCAAGAGAAATGAAGAGGAAAACAACAGAAACCAGATGGCAGACTGTCATCAGATTACACTGTAATCAGATTACACTGTCATCAGATTACACTCATCAGATTACACTGTCATCAGATTACCTTGTACTCTGATTTGGGTTTCCGGAGCTCAGGAGTGTAGAGGCGAAGTGACGAGTCGCCGAGGACTGAAACGGAACAACGTTAGCATCGCTACGTGACTCACTGACTCGTTCGTTCGTCTGACTCACCGTCGTTGAAGGTCTGCAGGTTTCCTCCTTTTGGTTTCCCTGGAAACAGAGCAGAGGTCGGTCACATGACCACTCCAGCTGGGTGACAAATCGACTTCATCGATTAATCCTATTTTTGTTTGGTACAGATTTGGTTGTGCGCGATGTCCTGTAGGCTCCGCCTCCCGGTCACGTGACCAGATCAGGGTCTCACCTTTGAACAGAGAACTCAGAGAAATGCCCGACTGGCTCTTGCTGAGCGACGGCGTTTCTGTGGAGATCTTGGGGAAGGCGGGCTCTTTGTCTGCCCTCTGATTGGACGCCGCCATCTCTTTGACGGACCATGATATACCTGAGCACACAGGAGCCACAGGTGAGCAGCCAATCAGAGCGGAGGACTCCCAACAGGTGGGAGGGAGGCGGACTTACTGCCAACAGGTTCTCCGCTCCAGCTGACCCGCTCCCAGTCTTCCTCATCGTCTTCGGCCAGCAGGGGGCCGATGCTGTTCACCGCCTTCTTGGTCTCCTTCAGCTGAACTCAGCCAACAAAACCAACAGGAAATAATGTGATGTTCAGCAGAGCAGTAAGGAAGTCAAAATGAAAAAATCATGATTAAAAGTCTAACATTTCATAACTTTAATCTGTGAAGAGAAAAAAAAACAGATAAAAATCTGAAAAGTGCAGCATGCTTTTGGATTCAACCTGATTATTATTTATCGTAAAAAAGCAGAACCTCCGATTGGAGAACATCTGAGAAATCTTGCCAAAGATTCTCAGTTGTAATAGTAGGTCTACACTTTGACTAGGCCATTGATCTAAACCAGGGATTGCCAATAATTTTTTTATTTAAAGGACATTTAATTTTTTTATTGCATGTTATGTTTTTAATCATTTAATGATACATATATAAATAATTACACATATGTATTTCACTGTATATTTCTGTGTGTAATTTTGTCAATCCACAGCTCTACTGTTGGTCGACACTATTAAATACACTGAGGGTTTGCCATAGACCCGGAGGATCTGGACTTTCAGCAGCTTTGTTTCTGTTTTTGTCCCATAAACCCGAACCTCTCCTCGCGCTTTTGGATTCTGGTTCTGGTTCCGGTCTCACCGCGCTCAGCTCATCATCTGCATCATCGAAAGTGAAGGCGTTGTACTTGCTGCTGTTCCAGTAGTCTTCCTCGTCCGCCTTACTCTTCATCATCTGGACACACAGAACCAAACCGAGCTTACAGAACCCTTTCCGGACCAGTTAACTCACACACGGTCCGGTTCTGGTGCTGACACTGGACCCGACGCTGTGATGATGCGTTCAGGGCCAGCAGTTTATTCTGACGGACTGTATTTTGATTTGTTAGCATACTAGCGGGCTAACAAATGACACAATCTAAGTGGTTTTTCCCGCCGTGACAAACCGCAGGAACTGTGACGTCATCTTGGGGTTTAATGACGTAACAACAACCTTCACAAAAACCCACTGGATATGAAACAGTTATCGATCAGGATCGATCAGCTGTTATTACCTTGTTCACCTGACGTTGCTCCTCAGTCTTTCTTCCGGAATTCGACGTCACAGCTTCCGGGTGCGCGGGGGCTTCTGGGAGTTGTAGTGGATACACGCTGCCTTCCTTAACAGAAACAAATCTTCTTGATGTTATTGGCGCTACAGGAACAAATCGTTCCTCTTCAACTTTCTTCTCCTTTCTTATTGCTGAATCCTGACCTTTGACCTTAACTGAGCCTGTCAAAGCTTTAGAAGTTGCTCTGTGAATCTATGGCCTCCATATTTTTGTTATTAAGATGGGCTGATATTTAAATACTTGGAAAACTGTTGTGTTTTTTTTTTTTTGCCTTTCTTGCGCTGTATGAACCATCAAAGCTGCTTTTGTTTTGACAACCTGTATGTGGTTTTATTTTGAAAGTCTGTGTGGCGAGCAGCAGCTCAGGTTTCAGCTGCTGTGGGTCAAACCTCAGACTGAGGGACTCCCAGTCCAGTTCTGGTCCTCTGGATCGATCCGGTCCGGAGTTTATCCATCATCGATGGCCAAGTGGGGGGAAGGAGACCCTCGGTGGATCGTTGAGGAAAGAGCTGATGCCACCAACGTCAACAACTGGCACTGGTCAGTGAAACATTGAACACTGATGCTTTTATTTTGAAATTCTAGCTTTAGAGAGTTTAAATGTTTTCACCTTTAAAGTTGTGTGAAAGTTTCTAAATGCTAATATGAAGACAAATCCTGGACCTGAAGGCAGAAGCTGTCAAAGTGGTCTCCATGTTGGTTTCCATGGTTACGCTCAGACAGAAGCAGAACCCTCCAGAATGATCCGAGGGGTAAATCTGGAGGGTTATTTTAGGGTGGCAGCGTTATGAGACCTGGCAGCTCGGCACATGTGCAGATATTTTTAAACGCTGTGATGCCAGAGGTGGGCGGAGCCAGTTCACTCACCCTGTTCCCGTCTTCCCTGTCAGGACGGAGCGAGACGTCACGGCCTGGTCTTCGGACCGCCTCCGTCAGCTGCTGCTGGGCGTCCGGGTGGAGGGGTCAGAGGGCGTCTGCGAGGTCACAGAGGTCAGCAGGCTGGACGGAGAGGCGTCCATCAACAACCGCAAAGGAAAACTCTTCTTCTTCTATGAGTTCCAACTGAGGGCCAACTGGTTAGGTCTGTGATGTCACTGATGATGCAACACCACTGAGGCTCCTGATAGGGCGACACTGATGATGTCATTCATTCCAGGGACGTCCTGCAGTGGACTGAAGTACCGAGGGACCATTGACGTCCCCAACCTGTCCGATGAGAACGATGAAGACGACCTTGATGTGAGTCAGTTGACCTTCAACCTTGCACTCGTCCAGCTGCCTTGTTGATGTTGAGTTGCTCCGTTCGGTCCAGATCTCGGTGTGTCTGTGTAAGGACCAGCCCAGCACCCCGCTGCTGGACCTGATGAAGAGGTCTGGTGGGAAGGAGGTCCGCAGGGTTCTGGGCCAGTACGTCCGTGACCTTAAATCAGGTCTGCTGTCCACTGACAGTCACCACCAGGTATTTAGGCAGGAATAATGAACGTCACAGCAAATGTGACCTTTAACCTCTCAGATTTCAGTCAGGGGATGATCCTTCCCACTGCTGACGGGCAGAAACCATCCACACCTGTGGCGAGCAAGAAAAACCAGGTCAAAACCAGTAAAACTCAGGTACAGTCCACCTGTTGTCCAGGCCCAGCTGATTCTGACTGGACCTGAACATCGTCTCCATGTCGTCCTCAGGTTAGCTCAGACGCTAAGCGTTCGTCCAGCCCGGCTACTTGTCCCACAGGTGTTCGCATCCAGACCTGCAGCTTCAGCCTGAGGGAAACGTTCCAGACCTCTGCTGATGAACTCTACAGGACCTTCATCAACCAGGAGGTACCGACCAAAACGGACCCAGCTAAGGAATCACAAGGCTTCAGCTCACAAAGGCTGACATTGGTGTCCGATGCTAACTGAAATGTTAGCTGAGCTAACCCTACAGCGCTACGCCATCCCAGTGCCGGTGGGGCTGTTTGCCCAGGGAACCAGAAATCCTTGGACTGCCTCTGAGGGCTACCAACATGAATTTAGCGAAAGCTAACGTTAAAGTACTACACCAACACTAACATGGCCAGATTCTGAGATCACTAGACGATTTCAAAGTTAGCCAAAAAATAAATTATCAGCAGAAGAGTGCCCACTACTGGCCGACATCCTGCATGTCTTAGATCTGTCCCTCAGAATGCCATCAAGTTCTGCAGAACGGGTTCTGACCCGTGAGGACAGATGTGGGAACCACAGCTCCATCTGACCGGCTCCTCTGCGCTCTGTCCAGTTTGTTCAGGTGTTTACGCGCTCAGCAGCGACTGTTGACGCCCGGCGAGGAGGAAAGTTCCTTCTTCTTGACGGCAGCGTCAGCGGAGAGTTCACAGAGCTGGTGAGGTCTCGGTCCTCGTCGGACATAAAATTGTTCCATGTTGGCGTAACCAGACGGTTTCTCTCTGAAGGTACCAGACCAGAGGATTGAGATGAGGTGGCGCTTCAGGACTTGGCCCAGCGGTGAGTCTTTATGCCATGAAGTGTTGCTGCTGCTGCATGCAGAACACCTGAGCCCTCTGGTTGCTCCATCAGAGCACTGCGCCACCATCAGGCTGGAGCTGGTAGACCGAGGAGACGAGACGGAGCTGGAGCTGGAGGCCCGAGGAGTTCCTGCTGGAGAGGAGGAGACCACCAGGGAGGGCTGGAGGCGCTTTTACCTCCAGGCCATCAAACAAACCTTTGGGTACTGAGAGGGCCTGGACCCAGAGGAACGCCTGTGAGACTGCAGAGTCTTAAACAGTTTCTGTTGTTGGTGTCCTGAAGGAACATGAGCTTCATAAAATCTCCTGCTGCTCATTTCTGTCCAAGGTGGGTCCAGAAAGTCGGTACCCTTGATGGGCAACGTCGACTGAAAGCCACAATGAAGAACCTGAAAAACGATTTATCTGTTCAAAGTGTTTGACTTTTTACAGTGTTTGTTCTGAGCTAAAGGAGCTAATCCTGAAGGAACCTGTTTTCTATACCAGTGCTAACTACAAAGTTAGCTACGCTAACACTACCCTACTAATCATAAACATTAGTTCTGCTAATGCTAAGGCGCTGTAGCAACACACTGTTTAGTGGAAGCTAATGCTAAACTAGCTTTAACCAAAAAGACTTTATGTGGAATGAAAAGATCTGTGGTATGTTAAGGAACTCAGATCCTCTAAAGACGACAAGCTTTGAGCACCAAGTTCATTTTGACTTTATAATTTACATATTCTATAATTTACATATTCTATAACGATGTTGCAATACTAAATATTATGTATCTTGTTTTAAATGAAGTTTAAAACAAGATACAAGATTTGGGGGAAAATTAGAATAAGAGGAAAGGAAATAGATCTACTGTATAAACAGACTTCAAAATAAGAGCATGAGAATTGCAAATTTATGGATCTAAAGCAGGAATATATAAAATGATGTTGGTCTTTCAAAAGAAAGCTTTCTTATACTTTTCAAAATAAAGGTTTTGCAGTGAGCTAATAGATTGTGTGTTTTTATGACGACCATATTTACTACATTACATTGTTTATAAACAAATATAACTTGGGCTAAAGAGGTAATATAAAACAGTTTCAGTTGGTCAATATTTATTTTTCATTGTGATTCAGTAAAACTTTACATAGAATTAAAAAACTTTGGATGTTTAACAGGTGAAGATGAAGCAGAAAAACAAATGGAGTCATTTGTTGCTCTGTTGATCTTTTTGTTTCTTTAAACTGCAGTTGGATCTTAAATAAAAGTGCATTTAAAACATTAAATAAAATAAAAACATTTAACACAGACTGGCGACCTGTCCAGGATGACCCCGCCTCTCGCCCGGAACGTTAGCTGGAGATAGGCACCAGCACCCCTCCCAACCCCACTGAGGGACAAGGGTGTTCAGAAAATGGATGGATGGATGGAAACATTTAACAGAATGTGTTTTTTTAAATAAAAGTGAAACATGACAACATGTTTTTGGGAAGTTTAAAAAACCTTCTCACATTGCGACGTGCCTGGCAGCAGAACTCTGTGTTTTTAAAAATCATTTTATATCAAAGCTGTTGGTTGTCGACTGGGATGTGCTGATGTTTGTTGTCTTTAGTTTCCTTCTGTTTTGAAAGATGCCATGTAAAGTAAAACTGAGTAAAATTGTATTTCTGCAGCTTCTTTCACAGACATGTAGATCACAGAGCTTCACAAAGGCAAAAACTAAAAGAAATTGCAGAAAGTCGTCCTGGTTTACCTTCTTTATGTGGAAAAGCTGCTGCGTCGCACATCTCTGAAACTGGGCCCATGAGCCGGGTCAGAACCCAAACCCAGGAAACAGAGGCCTGGTGACGCCGTGCCAAAGACATTTGGTAAACATAAATTCTCAGGCCACAAACACTCGGGTTCAGTTATTCTGGTCTTCCTGATCCAGGCTGCAGTCAGAGCTCTGCAGACACCAGGACTCAGCCTGACCGTCAAACCGGCAGCCCCCAGTCTGCGCTTCCCCTCTGGGCACGTCTCCCTTCCAGTCAACCTCCCAGTAACAGCGACCAGTGGCTGCAGCAGACGATCCTCCCTGGAATCAGAGACTCGGCTTTCAGCTTTGTGTTCTGAGACCGCTGGACGTCCACATCCTCTGTCAGGGTCCAGTTTCAGTTCAAAAGCATCTGATTAAGACAACATGTCAAACATTTTTACAAATTCTCAAAAAACTAAAGCAAATGTTCATCAGTGCAGCTGTTCATCTTCAAAGCAACGTTTATCTGTTTTCCATCTAATCGTGTTAGAGCTCAGGAAACAGAGGCCTGGTGAAACCAAACTTACTGGAGGTGTTAAGTCGCCGTGGTTTTCTTCCACTGGTTTTATCAAAACTTATATCTGCATCTCAATAAATTAAAATATCAGTGAAAATGTAATTTATTTCAATAATCCCATTCACAAAGCAAAACGCTGCAGACCTTCCTCTGTGACATTAACTGGCTTTACCAGAGCATAAAAAGGTCCAGACAAGAGGAGAGCTGAGAACTGAAGCTTCGTCTTCACAGCTCGTCTCTGAAATACGTGGATAAAAAACAAGTCATGATTAATCCACAGCTGTTGACTCAAAATGAATGAAAGTTCTACTTTTTATCATATTGCAGAGAAGAAAATGAACGACTGGTTTCATTACTATGGTTTGATGTTTGTAAAGTTAAAAATTAACAGCAATAATTTGAGATATTTAGCCTGTGAAACAAAATGTGAGCTTTTCAGTCAGTTTCAAACTAAATATTTAATTAGCAAGTTAAATATTTAGATGGTAAACGAACATTTAGCTATAATAAATATTTAGTTTATAAACTAAATACTTAGTTTGCATTCTAGATTTCTTTGCTTCAAACTAAATATTTATTAAACCCACTACCATTTTCAAATGTTTAGTTTGAAACTGTAACATTTATGAATAAATAAATGTGACTTTTTTCCTCCATTTTCTCTCATAAAGGCCCAATAATCCAAATAATTGCTGTTAATCGTTGTATCTTTACAAATGACGCCTCATGTTTCGAGCGGCTCACCTGGACTGCAGCTTTGTGACTAAACGCCTCGGCGCTGTGCAGGCAGGTGAAGCTTCGTCAGATGGAGGTAAAATGTGAGCTTCAGCTCCTGGCCGACCCACACGGTGCCGCAGCGCGGCCGGGTCCAGGCCAGGAGGCGTGCTGACGGGTAACATGTTGCATCGCAGCGTGACTCTGTGAACCGATGACGCCGAGCAGAACCAGAAATATCACAGGCAGACGGGAGGGAGTTCACCTCAGGCGTCACAAACACACCCAACACATTTTCTGGTTTTTATTCTCCTCCAGCTCAGAGTTTAACGTGAAACAAAACCTGATTTCTGTGGAGATGAAATGCAGACAGGCTGCAGCTTTTACGATTAAATCTGTTTATCTTTTATCTAACAGCAATAATCTGGATTATTTCGTCTTTTACAAGAGAAAAAAAATCATGTTTTCACAATGTTCATTCATTTATAAACATTCATTTCAAGTTAAACATTTACTTAGTTTACTAGCTAAATATTTGCTTTCAAACTAAAAATGACACTAAATATTTAGTTATCTCTTTAATTTGGAGCAAAATGTTTATGAACTCACATTAATGAATGAATGAATGAATGAATGAATGAAAACATGATGAAAATGAGACTGAAATATGAGCCTCTGTTTTCTTCTGATCATAACAGGATAAATAACTCAGATTATTGCAGTTAATTTTAACTGTTTTAACTTTAAAACGCCAGCAGAGGTTTTTATTAAAGACTCGTTTTTCTGTGTTGAGTCTGAATTCAGCGTTTCTGTGTTTGATCAGCAGATCCTCAGGGTGACATCATGACTGTTTCCATGGTTTTGGCTCCGTCTCCATCAGCTGTGAGGAACAGTTTGGCCAGCAGGAAGCCGCCATGATGCCACCTGGACGCCGCCATCACTGCAGAGTGTCACATGATCGACTGTAAGCTGATGCTAACCGCTAACTGAGCCGCCATGAAGCAGCTCCTCCCTGAATCCTCCAACCGGACCTGCCGGGTTCTGGAGTCTCACGTTTCTGTTTCAGCCACAGTTTGGGCTGCAGAGGCTAAAAACCGGCCCGGTGATCCATAAACTTCTGAAACTTCCTGATTATCTTTGACCTTCAGGACAAATCGGAAAGATTTTCTTCCCACTTCTCTTCCATTTCTGGCCGACTGAGTCTGGATCTGATGATTTAGATCCAAACTCCATATTTAGATGTGAACTAGCTGAATGTTTATAACAGAGCTGCTGTCTTTAGGTTGCGTTTAGTTTGCTATATTTAGCATCAGGCTAAATATTTAGCTCTAACCTTAATTAGCAAGCTGAATATTTAGCCCCATGCTAAACGATGAGGTCTATCGTTTATATTTAGTTATATTTAACTAAATTTAACAGAGCTGCTATGTAATATGTTTAGCTTGCTAACTAAATATTTAGTTCCAAGCTAAATATTTAGCTCAATATTATATTCAACTTGATAAATAGTTAGCAGCTAAACATTTAGCTTAGTTAGTTTAGCTTGGTGAGACGTAGCTAGCTCTCAGCTAGATTTGGAGTTGGAAGCTAAACAGTTAGCTAGCAAGCTAAATATTTAGTTATCTGTATGTAACATGAAGGTGGCATCTTGTTGACTATTGAGATAATATTCAGTTAGCAAGATAAATATTTATCTTGCTAAATATTTAATTTGAAGCTAAATATCTAGTTTCTAACTAAATATTCAGTTTGAATCTGGGACATTTATTAATAAATGAGTAACTTGGTTAAAATGTGACTTTGAAAGATGAAGCCATTGTTTTTCTCTTATGACAGGATTATTCTGGTTGTTTCTCGCTGTTCGTTTCTGACTGTAACTCTACAGACATCATGTTGTTCCAACCTGAGGGAACCTGGCTTGGTTTTCAGGACCTTCTGCTCCTGAACAGCTTTTATTTTGTAATCCAGACTGAGAGTCGGGTTTTAATCATGGCAGTGAAAACATGTGATCCCAGTGAGGAGGCCGATCTGCGGCTCCACTCAGACCTCAGCAGGATGCGACTTTTCCAGTAAACAACTTATCTCTGTCCACATCTGCGACCAATTACACACAGTACAAAATATGCTGATTCACAATTTACACCTGCTTTTGTTTTTTTGTATTTTCCTCAGGTCCAGAGAGGAATCCAGAAGAACGCAGTCAGCAGGTTTGTGGTGCCAGCTGCAGCCAGGAAGCGTTTGGCTGGAGCTCTGCAGTTTCCAGCCTTAAAGGTGCACTTCGCCTGCTTTCATTCACTAATGGCTTATTTTTCATAAATCTCTGCGTCAAAATGACTCACTGGACTTTTTTCTTTTCATGGGCTCCAAGTTTTCCTGAACTCCTTCCAGGAAACGGAAGGACAGTTTCTAGTTCTTCCAAACAATCCCAGCTGTAGAACCTCAGACGGCCACTAGGTGTCAGTGTGTAATTGACGCAGCTGTGGTTCTCCTTGATTTACAGTTTTTTTCTCATATTTAAATGTATTTTATTGAAAATTAAATTAAAAGTTTTTTATTAATATAAATTAACTCCATGTAATTATTTATGCGCCTCCCTGCAGGGGGCGCCGTAGTGCCTCTGCCTCCTCTTCCTCTTCGTCCCTCTGGTTTTAGCAGTTAAATGGCCTTTATGAGGAAATTAAAAATGTAATCTTCATTTTCTGTCTGTTCTCTGGTCTCATTTTTTCCAGATATTCATAGAAACACAAACCGCCTCCTGAAGGTCGTTATCGTCCCTCTGTCCTCATTCAGACCTCCTCTCTTCAACTGGACTTTTCTTTGGCTTCTTTTGTGA